CCAGCGCCTGGGCGCCCTCCGCTGCGACCCCGACTACCTGCGGGGCGCCCCGGGCAGGGCCAAGGTGGCCGAGGTGGTGGGTACCGCCCTGCCCTGCCCTGCCCCGCCCCGCCCCGCCCCGGGGGGAGCGAGGGGCCTGGGGCAGGTCACTTATGACAGAGAGAGAGAGGCTGAGGGTGCCGGAGAGGAGTGGGGGGGTCCAGAGGGTGTACGCGGGTTGTCCCGTTGAAGGTTTGTTTGCCCCCTTCGACGTGGGGCTCCCGGGGCCGGCCTGAGCGGTTTAGGGCACAGCCTGTTTCCTTTCAAAGGTGCATTGCCGGCCTGGGTGGACGGCAGAGCCGTCCGGGTGCAGGCGCGCCCCTGGCCAGACGGCTGCAAACGTGTTTTCCAATTGCGTCGCCGGCAAAAAGTCTGCTTCAGTCTAAGGAAAAGGAGTCTTTGTGTGTCTGCGCCATCCTGGTAGCTGGCGTCGATCGCCTAGTGCGGTAGGAGCTGGACTCTCGGGCACTGTTGCACGGCTGTGAGTTGCCGAAGCCTTAAGGAAGCGCTGTTGGTTTTTCAAGTAGCGGCTCGTCCTGTCCCTGTGCTGACGTGCTCCTGCTGGTTTGGGGGTTCGTTATGCACTAGCAACCGGCGCGCTAGACGTTGCATAGACCACTGGCCCCAGCTCACAGTTCAGGACCTCAGGTCTGTGTGCTGTCAGGGTACATCTCCAGGACCGTTGCAGTGCTGATTAGACTGCAGACGTACCTAAAGTTGCTTTTAAGTAGCTCGGATATTCCTATGAGCCACAGCACAACATAACCGTGTGGGCTGACAAGCATACTCGAGAAGCGAGGTGTGTACTTGGGCAGGTGGGCTTGCCTGAGTTCGCTGCTGCCGTAGTTGCACTGCCAGTAGTACTCAAGCTGTCTACGGCACGGTACGTCTTTATGAGCTGAAGCCGAAGCCTTCCCCCCCCCCCCCCCTTTTTTGTTGCTTAGAACTATTTTACACGCTGTGGCTAAACCCTTCACTTTGGTGGGAGAGCTTACATTGTATAAAGCTGAGCGTGTGGCTACGTTTTTTCAGTACGGAGGCTTAGGCTATGAGAAGAAAAGTGGGGAGGACAAGGCAACAGTAAATCAAATAAATTATTTAGTGAGTCCCAATTCTTGTGGTTGTACGCTCATATCGGTTTTGTAAAGGTGTCTCTTTTTTCCCTTCCTTCACAAACAGAGGAAACTAAGGCTGTGTGCACAGGTTAAGTTAAATGAGTAGACTAATCAACACTGCATAAATGCCCATTGTAAACTTCTGCACTTGCAGGGTTTAGACTCCATTAAAAAAAAATGGCATCAAATGCACAAAGTAATCGAATTGGCAAAAGCAGAAAAATACTTTGCTACATTTTTCAATTTGTACGCTTTTTAGTTATAGTAAACTCTTTTCTTCAACTGGCTATTAAACCATTTGGGACGGAAGTGTGTCAACTGATCATGTCCTTTTAAGTAAAGGAACACTAGGATAGCAACATAGTACTATATTGTGCTTTTTTATTAAAGCAGTTTCATGTGTGTGTACATGTGCCTGAGACATTGATGTTTGTCTTTATCTGCTTATCTTTCTTTTAGCAGCTGTGTTTCTGATGATTGCAGATTTAAATTTTAGGGAGTTTTATATCCTCTGGGGTAGAGGATGGGGCAGAGTTGCTGAGGGTGATGCTTTCTAGTAATCTACAGTAACTTGCCCTAAGGTTGTCCTATTGTTTTTCCTTTTGATAATTGCTGCATTAGACAACTCTTTTGGCAAGTCAAGTTAAATGTTTGACATTTTCGATAAAGGTCCCCAGGCCATGGATAGGTGAATCCTTTGTTTCTGAAGTTCAGGTATGAAGGAACAAGCTCCCAAGGTATAAACAGAAGGTTTTTTAAAAGGAAATTAAAAAAAAAAAAAAAAAAGTCCTGTTGGGAAGACTAAGGAAAATGCCACGCAGTAGTCAAGCTACACATGTAGGAGGTTTCTTATCTGTTGAGGAAATAATATTCTACCTTTAGGCTATTGTATTATGTAAGAAGTGTTTGTAGAATAATGCCTTTAGTGAAACTAAATAATGCTTTGTGTTTTATTAATGCATGTGGTCTGATATGTCCAGTGGGATGTGTACACTACTCTGTAAACATATCCAGCTAGCTTGGGTATCTCTGAATTACACTGAAGTAGGGAAATTCTCCTGAGCCAGAAGTTACCAGGACTTGTAGATTGCTAGCGTGGGACTGAAGCATATGGTTGCTGTTATTGTGGCCTGGCATATTTGGATTCTTCATGTTTATCTAATTCATATTCTGACCAAAATGGCAAACCTAATAAATTCTTCAAAAAAGGATTTAGAAGGGGATGAACAAGGGTACTCCAGTACATTCAAAATGTACTCCAGTCATTTATTTGATGAGCGTGGTTACGTTTCATTATAATTGTTAACTACACTATATATATGTCTCAATATTTTGTAAGGGTAACAATGCAGGGTTGTAACTCTGAGTGAACGGAGACTCCTTTTTTTTGTTTTTAACACACAAAGATTATGTGGATAAGTAAAGAGAGTCAAGCAGGGAGACTCTGCAGTAACTAGAAGCTACAGCGGGAAGGATTAAAATAGCTTCCATTCTTTAATGGACAAATGATTGACATATTAAGATACCAGTTTAAGGCAGACATTGAAATATATACACTTTAGTTCAGTTGACAGCTACTAAACAATGTTTACTGCTGTATTATGAGTTTTAACTTTATCATTTGTGAAATGATCCATATGTACCACTATTTGTTAAAAAGAAGACTGAGAATAGAAGGAAATGTGTACCTGACGATTATAGCACAAATATTTATAGGAATCTGTTGTCTTCTTCAATACTTTTCTTTATTAATTTAAAAAAAAGTTAGACAAATGTCTTTAATAGAACACAGTATAATACCTTAGGCATACAGTGTGATTTGAATTTTTAATAGGTAAGAAGATAGCTTAAAGTTGAAATGATCCTTGACACTTTCATCTTAATTTTTAGTATATTAAATGTATCAAAATAGTGTACTCTGGGTGTGTACTTTCTCTTGATGCTTTCTCCTTCCTTTGTGTATCAACAGGTATTTTAATACTAATCCAGTGTTTCTAGCTTTTAAATTTGGTATGCAAATTGCTTGATATCATTGGAATTTTTTAATTAATATCTGAAACCAAACTAGTTGGCTTTGTCTGCTATGTAACTGTTCAAACATTGTGAAAGAGCTACTAATCAATCCGTATTTAACGTAAGAAGTTTGGAAAATGTGTAGAAAGAACCACATGGAAAAGTTTAAACTAAGGTTCATTTGTTCTTTAATAGGTTTTTCTGTACAAGGAAAGGAACTTTTAAGAAATGGGTCTTTGGCTCATTCTGATTTTCATTGTGGTTCATGGTTCTGAACTATTACCCCCTCCCTCCACCATAAAGCTCCCAGACTTCTCACAGCAGAGGGGTTCCTTTTTATCCAAAGTAAAACCACTTCTTTGTCCTTTTCAGCATTAACATGACTGAAGAAACTTGATGATCTGAGTTTTTTTGTTTATAAACTTTACAGTCCAACTAAACTGTGCACAGCCAGCAAGGGTTGTGTTATGACTAACATCAGAGTGGTGAACTAGTGAGAGTCATGACGCCTGTATCTATTTGGGATCATGAAAGCAGCATCTGATCAGTATTTGGGTTGAAATAGGGCTTACAGGAAAAATACCTCTTTTTATGGCGGTATTTAAAGGGAAGGGAGATTTGACTGTGTTTGGCTATGTTAGGGAGGAAATTTTGAAGGGGTCAGTGAAACCAGAGGAGATTAATGATGTGACTAGGTGGGTAAAGAGGAAGTGAGAGGCATGAATGGAGAGGAAGGGGGCTGTGAAGTTATGCAGAACCCTGACACCTGAGGAAGGACAAGCAGAAGCCAGTGCAATTGCATGTAATTTTAAAGAGTGTTTTTCCTTTGGGTAGATTAAAATTCAGAAGAAAAGAACTTCTCCCTGGTGACTTTCTAGTGGAATATTATGTTACCTTATCACACAGTTGGAGTTTTTGCTGTCATTCTTGGGGACCATTGCAGAAAAGCTCCTTAATGTTTATTTTCAGTGGTCTCTGGTCTAATTTTACATTTCTCAAGTATTTGGGAATTTTTCTTTCCTATAAAATCTGATTGTAGAATAGTCTCAAAGGAAAGTTGAAACTTTCCCCAGTGTACTTTCTGAAATTCTTTCCTTATTTTAGCTCAATACTTGTCTGTTGCTGCTTAAACAAAACCTCTCTGATATTACGCATTTTTCTGAGTTAGGCAGCCAGTATCTCTTCTACTTTTCATTTAACTAAGTCAGGCAGAAGGCAGGGCAGGCTGGCACCTTAGAGACTAACTCATTCAGAGAGGCATATGCTTTTGTAGGTGACAGACAAAGTAGGCTGCTGCAGAAGAAAGTTTATGCCTTTCTGAATTAGTCTCCAAGCTGTCACTCTGCCCTGTCTTCTGCCTGATGCCAGACTAACATGCTAATTATCTGTCTCTACTTATTTAGGTAAGTTATACTGTATCTCTCGTTCCCTTGTGTCTCTCACAAGTCTCTTTCTCCATCCCTAAATGACTCTTGTGGCTGTTGCCCAAGCTCTTCAGTTTGTCTTTTAGCTTCTGTTATAGCAGTTCAGGGAGCTGAATGTACTGACTAGAACAGCATATAGTGTAGGATTAGGGTTACATTCTCCCTCTCTGAAAATTTAACACCTTTGAATTTGCAACTGTATATTGCTGACCTGAGATCCCTTACACCACTGTATAATTTTCAGAGTCTCTAAACTGTTTTACCTTTTACTAAAGCCAGTTGTTTTTTGGAGAGTTAAAAATTGGAATTTTGAGTTGGTTTCAGATTAGAATGAAAACTGAAATTCTGATATTCCCAGTAGTAGGGGATAGAGCCTGGGTATCTGTATGTCAGAGCTGCAGTGCCTGGTTGCCCAGGTTTTGCAGGAGCCCCCAAGGGGCACTGGCAGGAAAGCAGGTAGTTTTCCAAAGACCCCTGGCATGTAT